TTTATGTTAGTAAGGGTATGAGTGTCATTTTTGGGTGCGGTAAAATGAAAATGGGTGCGGTAATTAGTATTTCAGTATTAATAAAACCACGTTCCCAGTTCCCTACAATTATAAATTAAAATGGGCACAAAATTATCGCTGGCAGTCATACCACAACACCATTAAAATAATAAAAAAACTATACACTTCCCCTAAAATAATGCTCATAAAATACTGCAAAAAAAATTGTCTTTAATTAACTAACACACCCATGTGGAATCACAAACAAACCAATATTATAATCCGTTGACACTTCTCAACTTTTGTGATTTTCAGCTTCTCCTCCAAATACACTCCAAAAAAACCAGCAAATTTTCTGTCCCTGATTACAGTTTTTCTGTTAACAATCACCACATTCAAGAGTCAAGACTCCATTTTTTCCCTCGAGATTCAAAAATTTTCAATAATCTTACCACTCAAAAGCTTGGGCATCTCAAGCCCCTCAATAGATATTCTTGATTCTTGATTTTTTTGGCTAGCAATCACAATTCACACACACACAAATGAGTACCCTCAGCTTTGGGCTTTCATCTCCGCCGTCGATTTCAATAAAACCTCAGAGCAAACAAAAACCCAGAAGCTGGTGCCCTCGAATTTTCTCTTTCAACCCTCTGAGCGCTCGAGCTTTTGGAGTCAGCAGGGCCGAATACAGCAGGAAAAGGACCAATCTTTTTACTGTAAAATCAGCTGTCGAGCTCGAAAAGGCGGCGGGCGCTGAGGGCGGCTACGAAAGTAGCAGCGGCGGCTATTATGATGCTATTGTTGTAGGCTCTGGGATTGGTGGGCTGGTGGCGGCGACCCAGCTGGCGGTGAAGGGCGCGAGGGTTTTGGTTCTTGAGAAGTATGTGATTCCTGGTGGGAGTTCTGGGTTTTATGAGAGGGATGGATTCAAGTTCGATGTTGGGTCCTCTGTCATGTTTGGTTTCAGTGATAAGGTAAATTTGCATTTTTGTTGGCCTTTTATTTTTATGTTTTTGTTTGGACTGCTTAATTTGCATTTATGTTTGGAAAGTAAAATGTGAAAAAAAAAAAAGAAAAGAAAATGGTTCCACAAAAAAAGTGAGTAAATTTCGAGGATGTTGACTAATTATAGTTGCTCGATCGGCTAAATTGGTGCTTACAGCGTACTTTTTATCATTCGATCAACACACAACACATATGGGTGAGGGCAGGATCGAACTTTTTCAGATTAGGCGATGCAGAATAGGAGAGAGATAATAATGTGTGTGTGAGAATCAAAGAGAGATAATAATGTGTTTGTGAGCTGATTCTGAATAATGGTGACAGTAGGAGAAGGTGATAGTGATGTTTATTCAGTATTTACCTATTTTTTGATTTAATTGTTTGAAGTGAGATTTGGTGAATTGTATGTTGTTTTGAAAAATTCTATAGCAATTACATGTCCGGAGCAAAAAGTTCTCTAAAAAAACTGGATTCTGCATCCTAGGAATCCAAAGATAACCTGTTCTTTAATCTGGGAAAGGAAAATGGGGAATCGATTACACTTGTATAATGCAAGTACTTAAAAAGAAATTCCCATATTCAGAAATATGCAAGTATAGCCTCACTCCTCAAATAAAGTGCGGCATTGATACCGTAAGTCTTACTCGAGAACAGTACCCTTTTTTTTCCTGAGTTTGTTTAGATGAAAGAAAAGAAATTATGGGAGTTGCTTCTTGTGTAATAGTACATAATAGAAAACACAAACTATCTAAACTGTTTAGAGCTGTTTTCTTGATATGCTATGGTAATCCACTTGTTCCCTCATCTTCTTCGTTATTTTGCCCGTTCTGTTCTATGCAATGTGACCATATTTACTCGTTAAACCACACCAGTTCATGTT